GGTGGAAGGGGGGGGGGGGGGGGGGAAACATCTGATACAGTCAAAAGATCAGATCTGTTCATTAAGAATAAGCATCAGCCTCTCCTGCATGTTTCTGAAAAAACAGGTTGTCTGAGCAAGTAAGAAGCATCTCCTGCCATAATAACTACATTCTTTTGCCTTCTTGATTTGCTGTACTTTACAATCAGTTCACACCAGCTCTGAATATAATAATATCTCACCCAAGTGAGTGTTCAAAGCGATTGTGGGAAGCGCCCGGATACACCAGATATGTTCCTCCCAGCTGTTTGATGTGTCTCAGTCTCTGAAACTGAGGAGTATCTGTGATCTTCACCAGCAGGGGGTGCAGCTCCATGTGACCATGGATGGGGTCGTTGAAGATCTACAAAAGATACAAGTTAACTACAGTTTGTTAAATAAGTATATTTTACATTTACACCTATGGCAGTTACTGTACAGACTTTCTGCAATAATATACAATTTGAGTACAAATTGAACGTTTAAAGAGGGTTTGCCCTGATGTCACTAAGATATCTTTAATACTTTTTGAGTTACAGGCATGCAAAAGTGATTTTTCCCATTTTTGGACTGTCACCGTTGACATATAATGAAACACAGATTGTTAAAGTCAACAGATTTTACTAATAGACCAATCTATGTGTAAAAATAAAATAATGATGCTGCCAGCTTTCTGAAGTCATTTTAACACCCTTTTAATTTGGCGATTTAGAAATGTTCATAATACAGTTGTTTACCAATTTAACTCTATAGCTTACCCATATAACACATATAAGTAATATAATTCACAACATAACAGATATACTTAAAAGAGTTCCAGTTGCAATAAAAAAAACAAAAAACAAAAACAAAAAACAAAAAGACACTTGGTTTCACTTTTCAATATGTAGCTATGTTCATTTGACAAAGCCCTTTTTTTGTTGTTTGTTATATATATAATTCCTGATTATGTTCAACCAGAGGCTGCAGATTTGTTCTATTAAGGGATTTTGTTTGTAAAAGCAGTCAATAAAAAAAAAGTCTAATTCAGCTTGTAATTTGTTGCTGTAGTCGACAGCGCCACCTAGCGGTTAGGGGGCTTTGGGTGTGTACTTGCAGAACTGTAATTGCAAACAGCCGCGTGAGCTACTGGTGCAGGTCTGACACAGAAACATAAGCTATCAGACAGAAAACTATTCATACATGCTACATGTTCCTTCATACAAATGAAAAGTGAAATGACACTATGCGTAAATGCTAACACAGCTTACCTTCATTTGTTCATTTGGAAAATCCAAGGAGTATTTCTTCAAGACGTCTTGCAATTCATTCTTCACATCCTTCCACAACGTTCCAGGCTCTGAAAAGACATACCATTATATATATATATATATATATATACCTGTACAGAGTTCTACTCCGCCATCGTTGAATCCATCCTCTGCACTTCAGTAACTGTCTGGTTCAGCTCAGCTACCAAATCTGACCTCAGAAGACTACAGAGGGTAGTCCGGACTGCTGAGCGAATCATTGGTACAACCCTCCCTTCTCTCCAAGAACTGTACTCGTCCAGAGTGAGCAAAAGGGCTGGCAGAATCACTCTGGACCCCTCACATCCAGCACACTCCCTCTTTGAACTGTTGCAATGTTAGTATAAATCATACACTGTCAGAATAAAAATGTTGCATTTTATGCTTGCAACAGCCTGTCACTGGCAGTCCCTTATGAAAATGAACCATGGTTTTACTAAAGTGATCGTAGTTCAACTATATTTTTTTTATTTCCATGGTTACCACTATAGTAAACATATTTATCCATGTGTAAACAAAAATATAACTTAATATGTTGCAATTAAAGCGTATTGAATGTTAAAATGTGTTTCAAATATAAAGTTAGTATCATTACCCATTTTACTCTTAGTAATTTAATAATTTAATAAATTTCATAATTTAAAAGTTCAGTTTAGAAGTATTGTATCATATCGTATTGTATCGATATCGACAATACTGGCCTTTAAAAGTATCAGTATCGTATCAAAAACAAAATAAGTGGTATCGCCCATCTCTAGCATCTGGTAGCGTGCTAAAGTACTAAAGTGAGGGATCGTCCTGGATGAGATCGTCAGGTGAAAGGTCACACCATCATGTGGATAATTGTATTCATGGCTAAATTATTATTCATTAATTTTACTAATAGTTACATTGGGCAGGTCTTCACAAGAGGGCATTTAATTACAAAAAAAAATGCCTTGACAGAAGGGTACTTTGGGCATCAAGGGAAAAAGAGCAGGTGCTCAACTTTTTTAACTTGCAACCACTCATTGTTTAAGTTGTGGTAACAAGTCCCCTGAATGACTTTTTAGAATAATGTGTGCCTCTACACCCATTGTTACTATTGTCCACATCTGCAAATTGGTCTGAATTAATCAGATTAATAAAAAAGTGAGTAAACTACTCATCCACTTTCAGTAGATAAAAAAAAAGAATAGCTGTATATTTCACAAATGTACACACGATTTGAACCTGCTACTGCATTTTTTTGTATTCTGCAATACATGTAAAGAACATCAAATAAGATTTATACTATTGCATTTTTTTTTGATAGTTTAAGTGTTCTTTTAATAATTATTTTACCTGAAATTTGTCAACATTAAGTGAAACTAGAACATGAATTTACATTAGATTTATAAATGAATTAATTAATTCATAAATACATAAATAGATAGATAACTTTGTCTTCCCTTACCTTTAATTTTTTCAAAGAAGTGTTTAATTTCCTGAGCACTTTTCAAAGTTACTTTTGTTTCATCTTCTCTTTTTTTCTGAATGATCTATTGTCGTCTTTTTTTGTGGGCTGTTAAAAACTCAGATGATAGCATTGAACATCTGTAGAACTGCTTAGATCAAAAACTGGAATATGTAATGAGGAAAGTCTTGTCATACATGAGGCTGTGTCTTAAACAAATGTTAGGTTTGATCACTGGCATTAGACACATTAGATGCTGCTGGAAATACTGGAGTGGAATTTTAAGAGTTGCCGATTAGATAAAATTTCCTATACATGCAATTGTCTTACAACTGCCTTTGATTGGTTAGCCTGTCTAGTAAATATAAACAAATGTAATGCAAATTTAACATCATAAAATGTGATGGGATAATGTGTAAAGGGATAATTAATGTAAATGTGGCCATCATTTACTCCCCCATTTTATTCCACACCTCTATGAATTCCTTTCTTCCGTATAAAGACATTTTGAGAAATATCAGTGGGGGTTTTGTCCATATAATGAAAGTCAGAGGGGTCCAGTGTTGTTTCAAAATCAACATTCCAAACATCTTTTGATTCAAGCATGCGTAAGACTGCACAGTATTGTATAATCGTGTGGTTCATTTTAAAACAAGCACACTTTCCATATGTTGGAAAGTGAGAAAATTATTGAAAAAAAAAAGTTAGGGATGACGTCACAAAAACATTAAACCTTTATGCACATTTTCAATTTCTTTTCAATAAAGAAAGTCAGATTGAATTACAAAGGAGCACTTTGTCTTATGAATAAATTATTTTAATGAGCAGTGAGTCAAACATAATTTATATTTACCTAGTGAAAATTATTTGCTGAAAAAAGGTAAAAACTCACATGACATCTTTCTTCTCTTACCTTCACTTGCTTCACACAGTGTTCTTATATTTTCAAGAGTTTCTTTCTGCCTTGCATCACCAGAGTCAGACATCTTTCTTTGTTTTTTGGGAGGCATCTGTTGTCTTCTTTCTTCTGCAGCAAACTAGTATGATGTCAGTCAGGATGTGTTGATCTGCTTCCAGCTTTTATAGATCCAGAGGGTAGTCCGGACTGCTGAGCGAATCATTGGTACAACCCTCCCTTCTCTCCAAGAACTGTACTCGTCCAGAGTGAGCAAAAGGGCTGGCAGAATCACTCTGGACCCCTCACATCCAGCACACTCCCTCTTTGAACTGTTGCAATGTTAGTATAAATCATACACTGTCAGAATAAAAATGTTGCATTTTATGCTTGCAACAGCCTGTCACTGGCAGTCCCTTATGAAAATGAACCATGGTTTTACTAAAGTGATCGTAGTTCAACTATATTTTTTTTATTTCCATGGTTACCACTATAGTAAACATATTTATCCATGTGTAAACAAAAATATAACTTAATATGTTGCAATTAAAGCGTATTGAATGTTAAAATGTGTTTCAAATATAAAGTTAGTATCATTACCCATTTTACTCTTAGTAATTTAATAATTTAATAAATTTCATAATTTAAAAGTTCAGTTTAGAAGTATTGTATCATATCGTATTGTATCGATATCGACAATACTGGCCTTTAAAAGTATCAGTATCGTATCAAAAACAAAATAAGTGGTATCGCCCATCTCTAGCATCTGGTAGCGTGCTAAAGTACTAAAGTGAGGGATCGTCCTGGATGAGATCGTCAGGTGAAAGGTCACACCATCATGTGGATAATTGTATTCATGGCTAAATTATTATTCATTAATTTTACTAATAGTTACATTGGGCAGGTCTTCACAAGAGGGCATTTAATTACAAAAAAAAATGCCTTGACAGAAGGGTACTTTGGGCATCAAGGGAAAAAGAGCAGGTGCTCAACTTTTTTAACTTGCAACCACTCATTGTTTAAGTTGTGGTAACAAGTCCCCTGAATGACTTTTTAGAATAATGTGTGCCTCTACACCCATTGTTACTATTGTCCACATCTGCAAATTGGTCTGAATTAATCAGATTAATAAAAAAGTGAGTAAACTACTCATCCACTTTCAGTAGATAAAAAAAAAGAATAGCTGTATATTTCACAAATGTACACACGATTTGAACCTGCTACTGCATTTTTTTGTATTCTGCAATACATGTAAAGTACATCAAATAAGATTTATACTATTGCATTTTTTTTTGATAGTTTAAGTGTTCTTTTAATAATTATTTTACCTGAAATTTGTCAACATTAAGTGAAACTAGAACATGAATTTACATTAGATTTATAAATGAATTAATTAATTCATAAATACATAAATAGATAGATAACTTTGTCTTCCCTTACCTTTAATTTTTTCAAAGAAGTGTTTAATTTCCTGAGCACTTTTCAAAGTTACTTTTGTTTCATCTTCTCTTTTTTTCTGAATGATCTATTGTCGTCTTTTTTTGTGGGCTGTTAAAAACTCAGATGATAGCATTGAACATCTGTAGAACTGCTTAGATCAAAAACTGGAATATGTAATGAGGAAAGTCTTGTCATACATGAGGCTGTGTCTTAAACAAATGTTAGGTTTGATCACTGGCATTAGACACATTAGATGCTGCTGGAAATACTGGAGTGGAATTTTAAGAGTTGCCGATTAGACAATATTTCCTATACATGCAATTGTCTTACAACTGCCTTTGATTGGTTAGCCTGTCTAGTAAATATAAACAAATGTAATGCAAATTTAACATCATAAAATGTGATGGGATAATGTGTAAAGGGATAATTAATGTAAATGTGGCCATCATTTACTCCCCCATTTTATTCCACACCTCTATGAATTCCTTTCTTCCGTATAAAGACATTTTGAGAAATATCAGTGGGGGTTTTGTCCATATAATGAAAGTCAGAGGGGTCCAGTGTTGTTTCAAAATCAACATTCCAAACATCTTTTGATTCAAGACACACACACACACACACACACACACACACACACACACACACACGCACACACACACACACACACACACACACACACGTCAGCATTCATCTCAACATTGATCATGTTATTAGCTTGTCATTCTTTTTCAATCTTTTCATTCAGATTAAACGAACAGGGCTTGGTTTATTAGTAAATGTTCATAAGAATAATAAAAAACATTTTAAAGCAAGTGAATCCAGTGGATCCAGTTTTTTCTATTTAATGCAGGAACAATGTGTGTGTGTGTGTGTGTGCACACGCATACACACACAGACACTCACACACACACACACGCACACACACGCACACACACACACACACACACACACACACACACACACA